ATAAATAATTAGGTGTATAGAATGGTGAAATTGTGGGACTTGACAAAAATTTCCCAAGGTTCATAAGGTCGGCACTTAAAAGAAAGGGGTTTGGATTAAAGATCGCTTTTTGGTTGGAAGCTCACAGTCTCAGAGAGGCTCGGATTTTACCATTCTATACAACTATAATTTTAATTCTATGTCCTTTTCTCTTGCTTAGTTCCATGCACTATTGAATAGGAATATCACATTATATATTTATTGACTAAGTGGGATGGCTGTATTGGAAAATATTTTGCTGAAAGTCATAATGTCTGCACACAACAGAACTGAATACAATCTCTAAGTTTCCCTTCTCAACCAAAGGCCTCACCTGTGTCTTCAGGTATTCTTGTATTTTGTTAATGTTGTCCTTAACAACCTCTCCACCCACATGAGCCCAAAAATGGCCTGCATTAATAACCTGCATCAAGGTCACATCACTCCAAACACTCTTGACCTGATAATATCATCATAAGCAAATACTATTAGTAACGATGAATATTCTATCATAAATTGATATTTTCACTATGAAAATAACATGTTAAGTGAAAATAACACATTTTGAAGTTTCTCTATAATTGAAAATCTCGCTACTCTCACTTGTGAGATCTTTTCAACATTCGAAGATAAAATCCGTATCTCTGCGCACCCATGTAATATCCTCTATTTATCCCAACACAGGCAAAGGAATGAGCTTAACTAATGAGCTCTGAAGGCCCTTAAACATCAGTCAACTGATTCAAATGAGTGTCTTTTCCTGCCTCTTGGTGACGAACTGGAGGCTAAGCAGATCCTTTTATTTATAACATTAAATATCCCCCTCTCCATTAGAAATGATGCTGTACAACATTGCTTAATTCCCCACAGAATTCTCCTCAGTCCTTGAAGAGGTTGTGGTTTCAATGGACTGATACATTTACATGTACGTACTAATAAAATTTTGGATCAAAGAAGGTTTAGTAGGTATGGCTTTTTTTGTATTTTTAGTCCTAATAGTCAATGGTTTGTACTCATCGTATCACTATAAATGCAAGAAAACCAAACAGCTCTGTTGGTGATAAACAATTCACAAACTATATATTTTAATAATTCTTTATCATTAGAGCRGATTTTGTATGAGTGGGACACCGTTACCGCATGGTTACCGCACAGTTACCGGACCTGGTGTTCAAAATTTTGGTGAACCAATGGGGCACTAGAATTTGGTTACAGTACGATTAAGGTTACAGTACAGCACCGTCCATTTCCCACTCATACGAAATTCGCTCTAACATTTCATGTACAGTACCTCTTTGCTTGGACTAGTTYTTTCATCAAACACTTGTTCAGTACAGCTTAAATCAGGCCACACTAATCCCTTGGCTTTAAGTTGTTCACTGATTCTTACATCTTTACTGGTTGTTGTATCATAAAGATCAATTTTGAAAATCATTTCTGTTTCTTCACCAAAGCTGTGAATGTCAACTCCTGCAAAAAAGACAAAATATGTGAGCTTCAAAGAAAGTTTCATCAAAACCCCACAGTTGGTGTATATTAACTACCTACTTTCCGAAAATCAAAATCAATGCTTCATTCATGACTTTCAAAAGTGGAGTGAAGTGGAGTGGGCACTGGGGACGAAGTACTAAAATGAGGTCTCAAAGGCCAGTCTCCGTATCGATGRTGTCCATTACAAGAGTTTTGTTATAAATAACACAAAATATATTTTTCAAACGTTTGGACACTGCCATACATGTGGTCTTTGTGTTTTTTTTTTCGATGTAAGGTTTTGAGGTCTTGTTTCCATGATCCATCACTAGTTCCCCGATATTGAAGGTCATGAAATACCATCATTTTTKTAAGTCATATATGTTTCTACAGTAGTTCAAATTTATAATAGGACTTCACCTTGTTGAACCAAAGATGMCATCTTTTTTGCAGCCTCACTACTGCTCAACTGTGTAACATTTCCAATGAGTTTTTTCTTTAGGGTCAATTCACCCAGACAGTCMTTTGCTTCTTTGCTGTAACTGTATATCACTTGGCAACAGTTGCTATGACAACCACTGGGATTAAATATATCACAGAGTTGTATTAAGTGACGGACAATGCCAGCATTGACAAGATCTGCTTGGCAGAATGTATTTTCGTAAGTCAGTTTTTGCAATACTGCAGCGGCTTGTTCGTGGCAAAATAGCTTTTCCATTTTGTTGCTTTGATCTTAGGGAAAAAAANCTCTACCCAAATAAATGAAAAGTTGATATATAGGGGATATAGTACATGGGCACGCAGAGACATATTTTATTTTTGAGTGTTGAAAAGATTTTTCACGAGTGAGTGTAGCAAATGAGTCAGAGATTTTCAACACGAGAAGATAAAATTCAAATCTCCAATCACCATAATATTCTGTTTATCATATATTACATATGATTTTAGAAAATGTATGTAAAAATATATTTTTTCTTACTTCCACTATATTGAGAACATCGACTATTTTCACTAATGAAAATGTACATTATTTTCGCAGAGCATTGCAGAATACCCTGCTACTTGGATGAAAGATTTACGAAGGCGGCTACGCGGCTACGGAGTCCGAAGTGAACTACCGATCTCCCTGTGTTTTAAGAACAAGGCAATATATTATCACTGCGTAGCCGCATAGCCGGCTGGTGCTAAGTATAGTTTATTGTATTTTGGAATCCCTGTGCCTATCAGTGCATAGCCACGTGGCCAGTCAGTGAAAGTATAGTTTATTGCATTTTGGTATTCCTGTGTCTATCACTTCATAGCCTCGTAGCCGCTGGCTACAGGTATAGATTGTGTGTGGCAGGGTATTCTACAATCTAGCCATTTTCGCTAGTGAAAATAACAACTTTACCAAATGTATCATGATAATCTTCATGCGACCTCAAACATGTACAGATTCACACTTTAATGAGTAACTAGACGCCCCTGGGGCGTGAAGTCGGACTAGCTGTTTTTGAAAAATTGATAGACATGAGCAGAAGTACATGWACATGTACTTCTGACATGAGTGAAAAGATATTGATGTTATATTCTGTTTAATCATATGATTATATTATGAATGCAAATGAAATTTGAGAAAAACAGGAGGATATTACATAAAATATAAAAATTAGATTAAAATATATATTTCTTAATTTTTCTCCAAAATAGCCGAACTCACGGCCTAATAAGAGCGTCTAGTTCAAAATATCCAAACTCTCTTGAGACGTCTCTTGAGACTAAAATAAACTTGACCTAAAAGGTCATGTAATCAATATAGCAATTACTCTGAGAACAGAGGTACTTTTCTCACCCGCCGAGAAGCGAGAGAAAAATCTCTCGCTTCTCGGCGGGTGAGAAAAGTACCTCTGTTCGCAGAGTATATAGCAATGAACGTTTTAAAAGAGTCCTTGCTTTCACTGATAAAATCAAACGTGCTATGTAGACAAGCCTTGTCTGAGTGATGCTAAGTGATAACGTTGACCTCTCAGGCCAAGAAAATACTTTACAAAGTAAATGATACCTATAAAATCATTAAACTCGCCTTTTTTATTGATAAAAAATGTTTCTTCTTGTTCTAATTTGAAATCTTTGCCCAAACAACACTGCCTAACGGTAAAAAGGCCATTGATTTAGTTTCGAAAGCATACTACTCGAAGCACCAAGCGATCTGCACATGCGCGAACTTATGATACCTAGACTGATGCATTCCGATGAGATCACAGATACCACATTTGTAAACGAATAGTTTTTTTGTCATATAAAAGCGCGAGTAGCATATAGGATTTACTAACGATATTCGTACATCAATACGTTTGAGCTTCCGGTCATGTAATAACACAGTCAACCCAATAGTTAATTATTAAATTCTTAACTTCCGGTGGTCCAAACGCGACATGACACATAGATAGATAGATAGATTGGCTAAAAGGTAAATTTAAAGTCGGACCGCCTTCGGCTAGTCCGACTAATTAGATAAAAAAATATCATATAGTTGTAAAAACCATGCGATTGGGATAATGCTTACCGAGCAACAACCCCAACGTTCCTTCGCGCACAAAATCTTTCTTCTTGTCAGGATGCTGAAGACATTCCACAATGATTCGTTCAAGTGCATCTGTCATCTTGTCGTCCTCCATTGTAACTTTTCACTTCAGGTGACAGGTATTTGAAAAGAATAGAAATATAAAAACTAAGAAGTCGTTGTTTTTCTCTCAAATCATGATGAAATATCATTGAAAGGAGAAAAAATTAGCAAATTTTAGAAAACCACGTGCRAATGTTTGTTTTCATGTTAAACATTTTACAGCGGTTTTTCCCAAACGAATGCGTGCGCTTATTTGAAACGAAAAGCCACTATTCAAAAACAGCACGGGCTCAAAATAGAATCCCATGCAGCACCGCGCGAAGCCATGTTCTTTCTTTCCAAAACGTGAAATAAGGTGTAGAGTTCTCGACGAGCTAAGGTCTTGAAATCCGTTYACATCCTTCGTTTCAAGGCAACCTGCATCATATTTCTGAACCATMTCGAAAGAATAGATATCAGAGAACACAATGGCATCAAAATCTGAACTCGCTTGTGTCTACAGTGCACTTATTTTGCACGATGATGATGTCCCRATCACCGTGAGTTTTTAATKRTACAATTTCATCAAAATGTTGTTTTTCTATAAAAGCAAATTCCAAAAAWCTTTAAAAAATRTTTTTATAAAMATTTACATTGGTAAAACAAGCTAGTGAAGGATAGTCTTGAAATTGAAATAAACTTTATAATTTGTTGTTTCGACCCCTTGCATGATGTCAAAGCACCTTCCAGCATTTCGCGTACAAAATTATAGTTTTTCTCTCTCGCGAAATAGAATAAATTGTTTATCAATTGTTTCTCGGATAAAGCAGAATGGATACAGCGCAAACAAAAAAGCCCATTTTGTACGATAATTACTACCAAAAAAGTCCAAGAGAAGAATTAGCATAAGATTTTCTGTACTTCTGTTTTTATACTAAGTTAAATCAGATTTCATAAAAGCCAGTCATATTGAATTTGATAATGAGGAAATTGCATTGTTGTAGTAATGTGCCTTAATTTAATAATACCAGACCAAAACCAATGAAAATGCTGATTTRTTGACAATTTYACAGGCTGAGAAGATGCAAAAGCTGATCAAAGCAGCCAACGTCGATGTTGAGTCTTTCTGGCCTGGTCTTTTTGCYAAGGCTCTYGAAGGTCACAATATCACTGACCTWATCACCAGCGCTGGTGCTCCAGGTGGTGGTGCTCCTGCTGCCGGCGGTGCTGCTGCTGGTGGAGCTGCCGACGAGCCCAAGGCAGAGGAGAAGAAGGAAGAAAAGAAGGAGTCTGAGTCAGAGTCTGATGACGACATGGGCTTTAGTAAGTAGCTGTGTTTTTACATGATTCTGTTAAGTAGTTTGATTGTAAAAAAACAAGGGTCATTTGGCATTGGATTTACAGCAAAGTATAAAGTGGATTTTGTATGAGTGGGAAACAGATGGTACTGTACTGTGACCGTAATCGTACTGTAACCAAATTCTAGTGCCCCATTGGTTCACCAAAATTGTGCAGGCCAGGTCCGGTAACTGTGCGGTATATATAAGTCAATAAATTATTATTATTATTAACCGTGCTGTAACAGTGTCCCACTCATACGAAATCCGCTCTATTGTACACCAACTTTTAATATGAAGCATCACTTTTGGTTTTTCTTCMAACTGTAAATGATGTTTACATAAGCTCTGTACCATTTCATAGAAAAMCTACACAAATTACTGTCACCTGCAATAATTATTTGTTTATCCTTATTATTTAACTTGATTGTCATTGATCTGACAAGCCTAGAGAAAAGTCTCAACATGCATTAGCAATAGACTACTGATGGCCAAATTCATTAAAACTATAACAGAAACAGCAATATGGCTCAAAGATCATAGGTTGATCAATGGCAGTCTAGCTATTGCAAAATATATGTTGAGGCTTATCTGAATTTGTTGTGGAAACTGTCATGATACACATTTTTTTGCTGTAACAATACCAGTTGTTTGAAATATCCCTGGTAATACAATCAAAAGACCCAATTCAATTGTGATAGTTTGGCTATGATGATCACTACACCTCTGACATATGAAATCAAATGTGATTCCACACTGTCCTAATATCTGAGCCAATTCTATGTTCATCATTATGACTCGTTGAAGTGATTKGCAGTTTGCATTTTWCTMATMTTCATTTTGTCTTTGTTTCAGGTCTCTTCGATTAGACATCAAGTTTTGTGCCAAGAATAACATCAATAAAAATGTTTTACTGAAAACTGCAGTTGTTGTCTTTTAATATAAGAAACAATAWACCTCAGTAGCGTCCTTTGGGGAGGAGTTGATTGCTATATGTACAAGTTTGGTTTACCAAACKTAAATGCCTCCACAGCATTCATAGTTTTGAGTTTGATGGCAATGTCAGAGAAACCACATAGCTGAGTTGGRTCTCTAAGTTTTGCACACCATCATTGAAAGAAGRTAGCTGTGTGTTTGCATTGAAGCAAAATGACTGGTGAGCATGTTATTACAGAAACCTTTTGTTGGAAGCTCGCTGGTCTCTCATCAAATTAACTATAGGAGTTTAATCAAACAGTGTCAAAACAGTAATAGGTATTTTGCATGAAATGGTCACATGGTACTGAATTCACCATAATACTGGATGGGAAAATACCTACTGGGATGTTCAAAACCAAGAAAAGTCAAGCTTGATGGCATGCATTCCTTTTTTTGGGGTTGTTTACATTCTTTTGCCATCCAGTATGGAGGATTTAGTACCATGTGATCGTTTCATGCAAAAGGCCCGTTGTTTATCTGTGGGAAACCAGGGACATGCAAGTCTGTTGCCCATTCCTCTCTTATCTCTCTGTGGAAATACCCTCTGAGATAAAAACATTCTTCTTAGCTGTAAGTAGCAGATATTTATAAGATTCGTAAAAAGAACTTCTTGAGAGCAGAGAGAGAAACAGTATCCAGCCTTAAGAATATAAACCATGGGGTCATCCAATATTTTATGATCCAATGTTTCTTGTTTGTCTGGTGCTGGTGATATGACAAAATAAATCTATGCAATCTTTAGTCTTTCTACGCACTGTACAATATTCCCAGCATTGGACTCTAACGAAGTATACTCRTCCATTAACGAGKTCAATGATTCTATACTAGTGTCAAACTGACCCGCATCTAACCCACCAATATTRGTATAATGGTGTACATGTGCTTTTCTCTTGTAGAGTCTCATAAAACGATCCTTAAGTTCATGAAAAGTATTCTTGATACAAGAATTATTTGCAAGTGTTAGTAATGAATAAGGATGACCAACTGGTGGAACTGAACACAGTCCTGTCTTCCATCCTTCCTGRTTCCAATAAATAAACTTCAAAGATGGCTTCAATCGCTCAATATTTCTTCTAATGTCTGAAACTTCAACATTTCCTCTTACTATCAAAGCACACGCCAGGTAAAGGCTGTGTTTAGGGTCAGCTTTGATGAGTTGGTGGTCCTTGGAGAATCCATCGGTGAACATHTGATTGAGTCTTCTAGGGGGGAGYTTTACATCAGTCAGCGCATACAGGGGGGTCTGACTTGAGACTAGGTAGTGGAGTTTAGGAAAAGGTACAAGGTTCATGGTGATTTCATTCAAGTCYACATTCAAAGATCCTTCAAATCTAGCTGAACTGGTCATGTTTAGTATCAAGTTKGCAACTATRTTGTTCATAGAATCAAATGGTTTGTCAGGGCCTTTAGTAATTCCCCCTTCGCTRCATGTTATTGCACTCTTTGCCTTTGCTTTAAGAGGTCCATCTAAGGTGATCTGCACCTTTTTGCCTGTCTTTGATGGTGGGAGAGCACTTTGTACTTTGTTACAAATGTCCACTAAGGCCTAACAAATAAACAGTTTATTAATGGATACAATTTGAGATGTTGATGAAACCTAGAGTTTGACTGTTCTGATAGGCAATGTGCAGCAATACCATTTAATATAACAAAGCATGATGGAAGTTGTATTAACCAACCTGGTTTTCCACTGGTAAAACACAATCTGCATATTCTGTTAATTGATGCATGGCTAAAACACTAAGGATTTGAATAAATTATTAGTTTATGATGTTGCAACCTATTTGAATCACCGTGACAACATCTTGTTACAGTGTGGCTACTGAAACCAAAACCACCAAGAGAATGTAAAATAATCACAATTTCGATTGAAACAAGGCTTAAAAAGCTAAAAAAACGATAATCAGTGATATTGCAAAGAACTAAAGCTTAGGGGTGAGGTTTCCTTAGTTTGAATCCTTTGTTTTCAATCTAAATTGTGGTATTTTATATTCTCTAGGTGGCCCCAGTTTCAGTAACTGCACTGCAATCAGGTGTGATGTAATAATGGTTTGAACTGCGGTGAATAAATGTAAGGAATTGTGATCTCCCAGCCAGTGAAATAATAATAATTCATAATAACAACCCTGGATTTAATGTAAAATTGGATTCTTGGATTTTGCTCAAAAAAATTTACTTTTGGACAAGTTAATGTTTATAAATGTATTGTTGAAGCCTGAAATATTTTTTGGCAATACAATTCCTTACATTCAATCAGGTGTATTAACTTGTCGTTACGATGGAGGGTAGGTGCCTAGAGCAAAGCAAGCGAAGGCAAGCAATTGGCAAGGCGGTAACCATGGCAACCTAGCCACGGGTCAACCTCAGCACCTGTCACACTGTAAAAACAGTGGAATTGAAACTACTTACCTTATANTTTAATATAACAAAGCATGATGGAAGTTGTATTAACCAACCTGGTTTTCCACTGGTAAAACACAATCTGCATATTCTGTTAATTGATGCATGGCTAAAACACTAAGGATTTGAATAAATTATTAGTTTATGATGTTGCAACCTATTTGAATCACCGTGACAACATCTTGTTACAGTGTGGCTACTGAAACCAAAACCACCAAGAGAATGTAAAATAATCACAATTTCGATTGAAACAAGGCTTAAAAAGCTAAAAAAACGATAATCAGTGATATTGCAAAGAACTAAAGCTTAGGGGTGAGGTTTCCTTAGTTTGAATCCTTTGTTTTCAATCTAAATTGTGGTATTTTATATTCTCTAGGTGGCCCCAGTTTCAGTAACTGCACTGCAATCAGGTGTGATGTAATAATGGTTTGAACTGCGGTGAATAAATGTAAGGAATTGTGATCTCCCAGCCAGTGAAATAATAATAATTCATAATAACAACCCTGGATTTAATGTAAAATTGGATTCTTGGATTTTGCTCAAAAAAATTTACTTTTGGACAAGTTAATGTTTATAAATGTATTGTTGAAGCCTGAAATATTTTTTGGCAATACAATTCCTTACATTCAATCAGGTGTATTAACTTGTCGTTACGATGGAGGGTAGGTGCCTAGAGCAAAGCAAGCGAAGGCAAGCAATTGGCAAGGCGGTAACCATGGCAACCTAGCCACGGGTCAACCTCAGCACCTGTCACACTGTAAAAACAGTGGAATTGAAACTACTTACCTTATATGACCAGAGGAGGGTGGGTGGGGCAAAACCACCCAGCAATGCAAAGCTACAAGCTGCTAGCGATAACAGCCACAAGGCAAACTAAGGCGATTACGCATGCACAAATCACACACCATTGGCCAGCACTCCACTCAAGTTAACTTTGCTTAAATATTAACCACATTATAAACTGTGCAGTATCAGGGCACATAACTATTCAAAGACAAACCTGTTGTATGGAGAGGTGATGACGTCATCATCAGCTGAAGGATACACAGCAGTAGTGAACCTGTAGACATCTGGATACTCATCATGAAGAAGATTAAGTACATATGTACCAAGACCAGAACCTGTACCCCCTCCCATKGAATGGATGAGAAAGAAACATTGCAGGCAGTCGCACAGTTCAGCTGCATGTCTTATGGTCTCTGATATCTGTTCTCTGTACTGTTCTCCATACATCATGTAGCCTGTTGCCCTATTAGATGTTATACGTACTTAAAAATTTGATCTTGAAATCTTGAAATATGTGCATCCATTGGTTGACCCAGTGGTAATGCACTGGACTATCGCTGCTGTGGTACTGGTTCGTTGTTCCAGACTATAATGAGATTTGTGTTTGAGCTGGTTCTCTCTCTTGTTCTGGGAGTTTTTCTCCACTCAGTCCAGGTATATTGGTTTTCCTCCTTCTGGAGAGGGCTGGGGGTGGGACTTGGCAAGGGGGAGGGGGAGGGGTGGGAACGGATGTACACAGGCTAGGTAAGGGGAGGAGTCAATGATTATGTGCAAACAGGGCTTTTAAAAAGGACAACTTCAGAGGAATTAGTTGGTAAAATGTTTGTTTGCCCAACAGCCTTTAATGGTGCCAGGGATTCAATTTTTTTCTTATTTTTTTATCATCCTATTCAATATCTTAGAATATTACTTACCAATTATTACCACAGCCAGAGACGTCAGTAATGAGCTGTTGGCAATCAAAGACATCTCGTAATGGCCCTTTAAGGATTCCATTAACCACACCCTCCTCCATGTCAATTAGCACTGCCTTAAATGCATTGAATAAAGTATTATTTGCATTGTATGACACTTAACAGAGCAGCAATATTCAGTAAGTTTTTCCACATACTTTTTTACGGTGTTAAATTTATCTTTTTACATAACTGTTTCTTTAGAAACACCGACGCAGCTCACACTAGTTTACCGCTAGTTCCCACCATAGCAATATTAAGTATCATGTATGGCTATACTTGCTGTAAACACTGTAGGTATAAGACAAGTCTCTTCTGGAGCAAATCTAATGTAGCCCCCTCCCTAGGAAACGTTTTTTCCTCATTTGGGCTTCCTTTGTAATGGTCATCTTGGCCCCTAGGGACTAGTGACGAGGATCCCCCCTCTCTCTCTCCCCATTCTCCTTCCTCTGACTCCCAACATTTAAGACAGAAAGCCAGTGATTTTTAGTGATGCCCTCTMTTGCTCCCATTCTCCCTCTTCTGACTCCCAACAATAGACATGAAGCCCTTGATTTTTAGTGATCCCTGTGGAGGAGGCTAATCTAAACTTATGTTGTGGAATTGCATTATGGTGTCATTTACTACAACTACCAGAATGCTTTGCCAACTTTCTTTTCTAATGCAATAAGTGCCAATTGTTTTATTAATCTCCAAGGGGATTAAAAATCTGAACAACAATGAAAATGTGCAAGGCTCTCTGGTAGTTGTAGTTAAGTTACATCATGCACATCACACATTAAGGCATCATGCATATGGTGTATTATAATAAAATACAGTTAAACATGTATATATTATTCACTTACTCTTGCTTTCAATGACTTTATTTTGCCTTTTGAATTCCCCACAGGGATGTCTCTATCATATCKTGTATCAACATTTCGRAAGAAACTGTTTATTGACTCATCAAATATTCCATTCTGGAAAGTAAAACAATGCAAAAATAAAAAAAGCTTTTAACAAAGGGAGGGGTGGGATGGTAGTTTAGCAGTGTGTGTCCCTCCAAAAATGAGTTTTCCACAGGTCAATTTTAGGGAAGACAACCCMCAACCTATTTGGCACCTKAAATACATGTATCATACCCTAGGGGTTYAATACTAAGAGGCTATTTGATAAGGAGAGGTCACACAAGAATAATCAATGGGTCAATCATATTCTTCGTTTTCACCATACGTCACAGCGGCCATCTTGGATGAACTTCAACAAAAGATTTCTCATTAGTATCTATTGTTAATTCCTCCAACATGGCCGCCGGTCTCTTTATCTTTTGAATCTCATGGGAATGATTGAAAACGATCAATACGAAGCTTGTGCCTAATTAGCATACCACCTTTCTTTTTCTAGAAATTTTACCTTATTTGTATTTGCATGTTCTCGAAGAGCCAGGTCCCAAAATCTGTAACCAATCTAGCAATAAAGCACGATACGAAAAGAAATGGGCTATGTTTTATTGACCATTGACCAATGTGGGCAACAATATGTTACAGACACCCAGTTGTAATGATGACGACCTGAGTAAATCAGTACTCCAAAGAAAATAACATAAAAAAACATAATATAAATTCTGGACACATGCTATTGCAGRCATATGATTATAGCTTGCATGTACAGATGTAGCCTGCATCCCAAGGTAGAAAAGTCTGAACACTCACTCCTGGGGCTGTGCTGCCAGCGCCAAGTGTGATTATAATGGTCCTCTTCAAGGACATTTCTACAGTCTAGTCTACTTAATATTGCACTACTTTGCACTATTTTTTATGACCTTGGGTTTACATCATAATTGAATAGCTGACTTGCGAGTTTTGCCTCCAGTAGTCGCACACAAGGGAATCAAGACGAGGCGCCGTGCATAAAGCTCAGTCATTCGTGAAAAGACAATAGTTTTTCACAACTGACTGAGCTTTATGCACGGCGCCTCGTCTTGATTCTTTTGTGTTTGACTACTGAAGCGAAATTCGCAAATCGGCTATTTTGTCACTATATTGACGGGATCCCTGTGTGGAAAGATCCAATAAACGACAATCTTAATACGAAGAAAATCAAGGTTATTTTTATGATATAGTAATATGGTAATTATAAGTATTTATTATTTTACTAACCTGGTTGCCGCATTGTCCCACTATAAAACAAAAAACAAAAAAATAATAAAAAGTTATCTCACCATTCAATAAGGTTTAAAGTTATTCGATTTTCAATCATTTTAAAATTWTTACCTTGTACAACGATTGATTGAGTCATTTTCTAGATCTCACGCAATTATTAGGCGTACTTTAAGCCATTTTCAGAGGAAATATTTGAAGTTTTTGGAGTAAAGTCGTCTTGTTTTCATTTTTGAAACTTTCGCGGGAACTTTGCGCATGCGCGTTTTGATTATCCGGGCATTTTACCGGTGCATTGTGGGTAGAAAGTCCTCTTTCACCATCGTGACTCGAGAAAGTGAACAAAAATCGCTTTCTAAAGATTTCTAGAGGTATTTTGCTCATCATAATGAAATAAAATCCAACCAAAASAAATCACATTGATAGTCCATTAATTTAACTCTTGTTTGGKGCAATTATTTTGTGTTTTTCAGTCATTTAAGCCGTCAAAATGGTCTCTTCTAAGAAACAGGTCTGTGTAGACGCCATCTTGGAACTACTAGAACATAACACGTGCAGTTATATATAATGTTTAAAATGTTTCTTCCTTTCTCTTAGAAGACAGTATTAAATGATCAATTTGATATTATTGATTTATTATCATCAAAACAGCACTTTATGTCCTTGATGCAAAGTTCAGCTTTAGAAAGCTTATAAATGTTTAGGTTTTTTCATGTTTTGTAATTTTAAATGGATTTTTATTTATTTTACAATAGAAAAAAGCTATGGAGAGTATCAACTCTCGTCTGGGTCTGGTCATGAAGAGTGGAAAGTATACTCTTGGTTATAAATCCACACTGAAGACTTTGCGTCAGGGAAAGGCTAAGCTTGTCATCATCTCCAATAACACACCTCAGCTCAAGTAAACCAAGATCTTTATTTATTATATCTATGAATTTCACTAGCGCATAAGCATAGCATAAGCACAAGCATGAGAATCATATGCGCCAGTGAGAACGGGCTCGACATAAGCATAAGACATTGAGCATGCGCACGAGCGTACTATTTCGGTACCAGGCTATGCTTATGCCTATGAAGTCCCRTTCTCACTGAGCATAAGCATTGAGATRAGCACAAGAAGATCAAGCCTTGCTCGTTTTTCTTGTGCTCATGCTTATGCTTATTTTGAGGCTGTYCTCACTGGCGCATATGACTCTTGTGCTTCGTGCTTATGCCTATGCTTATGCGCTAGTGAAATCCACGCTTTATTGGTTCGTTTATTTGACATGTTTGACAGCTAAAACACTCTGGTCTGTGATTGGTTTGCTTGAATACAGCATGAAGTGAGATTTACTACGCGTGTGACCAGAAAAAACAAACCGATTAACGGAAACCATGAATTAGCACAAATCAAGATCTGAACAACCTTGCCCTGCATTACTATAGAGTGAATGCTTAATCCTTGAAATTGAATGCATAATCCTCTAAATAATAATATAATAATAATTATCAATAGTTCTGAAATTAAAGTTGTTCTTTRTATACACCATTTACTAATTGCACAAGATACTGCAAACAAA